CTACTTCTTTAGCCTGTTCTAGTTTTAAGTTTGTTTCCATTGGAGTATCATATAACTTAGTGTTCTCCAGATTATATTTTACAGCCAAAGATTCAATATATTTTGTTTGACTTAAGGTCATTCTATTTCTATCATTATTATAGTCAATATCTATGCCAATGTAACTTTTGATTTTTCCTAAGTCTTTCATTGCAAACTTTTCCATTAAACTAATTTTCAACTGCTTTACTTTATCTATATCTTTACAACAAATTAAAAGATCATCAACAAATATTAGTATATATATTGGATCTTTGTTTGCACTATTTACATATAAACAGTAATCATAGCTACTTCTAACAAAATTCAACTTTTCAAAAAAATTGTTGAAACATTCATACCATACTCTAGGGCTTTCTCTAAGGCCATAGAGTGCCTTATGCAATTTGTAAACTTTATTATCTCCAGTTTCATAACCTTTTGGTTGATTTATATATACTTCTGACTTTACACGACCATTTAAAAATGCTGTTTCAAAATCCATTTGTTCTATAAATAAATTATTTTTACAGCTATATGATAATAAAATTTTCAATGTTTGCATTTTTCCTACAGGTGAATAAACATTTTCAAGGTAATCCTTTTGTTGGAATCCTCGGACGACTAATCTAGCTTTATAAATATTATTACTTTTTCTTTTAAAGACCCATTTGACATCTATAACCTTTTTATCTTTTGGCCGTTCAACAATTTGCCATGTATTGTTTTTATTTAAGCTATTTATTTCAGAGTCCATCGCTAACTGCCATTGCTTATAATCGTGCAAGCTCATGGCCTCCTCAATTGTGTTTGGTACATTTGCATCAATGTAATTTACATAAATAAAATGTGATACTGGATTACCATATCTTATAATTGGACTTATCTTTCTTTTTGACTTTCTTTCTATTACAAGCTTATCCTTATTGTTACTTAAATTTTCATCATCGACAGGAACTTCCAGAGTTTTATTAGAACTTGTTTCAATTGCATCATTTACATTTTCATCAATATCACTTTCAATTATTTTATTTTCAATGTCTGTTTGCTTTTCATTATAATTTTTTTCTAAACAAATTAATTGAGTATTTTCTTCGACTACCTGAACATGTCTAGCATTAATTATTCTATTATTTAATAAAACTCTATAACCATTCTCAGTGTAACCTACCAACACTCCTAGTTGGGCTTTATCGTCCCATTTACTTTTCCTTAAAACTTCTGGAACCCTTACATAGACTCTACTTCCATAAATCTTTAAATGTTCTACATTTGGTTTAATACCAAAAAATATTTCATAAGGAGTTTTATTCTCTACTGTATTAGCAATTGTTCGATTTTTTAAATATGCTGCTGTTTTTATAACTTCAGGCCAATATCTTCTGTGAATTTTAGCTTCTCTCATTAAGCATCTACCTATGTCCATAGCAGACCTGTTATACCTTTCTGCTACCCCATTTAATTCATGAACATAAGGTGGACATGGTAATAGCTCTATCCCCTTATGTCTGATGAAATCATAGATATCTCGATTTAAATATTCTTTGCCATTATCGCACTGTAATTTCTTAACTCTTTTATTAAATTTATTTTCTACTAAATTAACAAATTCTATAAAACAACTTGCAGTTTCTGCTTTACTTTTAATACAAAAAATTCTTGTACATTTACTATAGTCATCAATAAAGGTCAAAAAATATTTTTCTCCACCATATCCAGTTGTGCTATGTGGACCATTTAGATCAGTATGAATCAGTTCTAAAATTTCATTAGTTTTGGTTCTATTATTTTTAAAAGGTACATTAGTCATTTTGCTTTCAATACAATTTGAACATTTCATTTCTGTGCTTTCAATCTTGTCCGGCAAACCTTCTACTAATTTGTTATTTATTAATTTGTTTAAATACTGAAAATTTACATGACCAAGTGCCCTATGCCATTTCTCTTTATCAGTTAATTTTAATGAATTTACATACATTTTATCACTGTCAATTTTTGAAATAAAACTTTTTATGTAGTACAAGTTGTCTATTTTATTAGCAATAACTATTAATTCTTTAGATTGGTTATATATTTTTGCATTTTCATTTCTTGCTACTATAGTGCAATTTTTGGTTATTTTTGAAAAACTTAACAAATTTTGCTTAATATCTTTGACAAAATATACATTTTTAAGATCAATGTGTTTTTCATTATAATCATTTTTAAAATAGATTTTAATAGTACCTACTTTAGTTGCTTTTAACATTTTACCATCTGGCAATTTCACATCAATGGGAATATTTAAATCTACATAATTATAAAAACATCTATCATTTTTTATAATATGATCGGTACACCCACTATCTAACAACCAATTAATTTCATTAATATTATCATAATCCCCTTCGGTACACCCCATTACCTGATTTACTTTCGGATTAGACACCTGGGCTGTCCATGACTCTTTTGAAGAGCTGTCCCGCTGAGTGCTCGACGACTCACCTCTGGTATGATTTTGAGCTCTGGCTCTGCCACGACCTTGATAGAATCCACCTCTGTAATAACCTCTTTGTAGACCTTGCTGTCGTTGACTGGTTGAATATCTTCCTTGGTAGTTTTTCTGATACCAACAATATTTCTTGAGATGACCTGTCTTTCCACATATAAAACATTGAGCTTTAGTTTTCGTTGAGAATGTACTCATATTACTCTTCTTATCTGGGTCACTTGTCATATTTTTTTCTTTTATTTTAGATTTTACATAATCCACTGTTCTTTGTTTTTCTGGAATTACATCAATAAAATCTCCAATGTAACTGTAGCTTGGAGGTAAGGCTCTGAGCAAATATCTCATCTTCTCGGGTTCATTTATAATCCCACCAGCCGCTTTGAAATCATTCGTTGTTTTTTCGAAATCAACAAAAAAATCTTCTACGGTACTGTAATTGTTTAATTTAACCTCTTCAAGTTTTCCTCTACATATTATTTGCATAGCAGTAGACTGTGTTAAATACATTTTGTCCAACTTTTTCAACATATCGTAAGCCGTTGTACATTCACTAATATATTCTAATTGTCTATCAGAAACTGTGCTCATTATTATAGTTCTTGCTTTTAAATCCATTTTCTTCCACTCGGCCTCTTGACTTTTATACTTAGCAGACATAATGCAAATGGCGGGCTCGTTACAATCTTTGTATTCTAGTAAAGTTACTAACCTTAATTTCCAGCTTGAATAATTTGCACCATCTAAAATGGGCATCATTATGTCTTCTATCTTTGCTTGTTTAGCCATTTTCTTGATAATAATGTCGAACGAGTTAAATTAGACGAGACGCCAACTATTTTGCACGTGGTCTTTTTAACGTTCTTATTAAACAATTTTCAATTGAACCACGAACTTCTTTAATTCAATGGACTTCTTTAATTCAATCACGAGTTTTTTTTAACTTTTATAACAACTTTTTTTTTTTAAACAACCACNGTAAATGTGTATTAAGGTCTTCATGTAATGTTATATATAGTTTTTCTTTGTTTTTTATATAATGAACCGCTTTTTTTATGCATGCAGTCGGTACCTGTAATTGTGTTAGCATTTAGTGTGAAATCAATGTATATGATACCTGTAATGTTCTGTGCTGATGTATAACATGTTGGTACCCAATAAATAAAATAAAATAAAATAGATTGATGAAAGCGTTATTTTGTAATAAAAGCACAAATTATCTTTGACGCTTTCATCTAGTAGCTTAGACTTCCATGACTAAGAAATTAATGAAACAAGCATTACCTTTTAATCAAGCTTTTAGTCTGCGGAAACCAGAATATCTAACGATGAAGCAAATTTTTATCGCGTACTAGCGACCCGCCCTCGCTTCGCTTCGAAATTGTAATTTATTATTGATTTCTCCACTATTTCATGAATGTTATTATACATATAAACCTTCCTCTTCAATCACTCTATCTATTAGAAAAACCGCATCAAAATCCGTTGCGTAGTTTGAAATATTTAAGCATACATAAGGATATAGGGACAGAGAAAGCGACTTTGTTTTATGACGACTGTGTAGTGATATTGAAGTAGTCAGCGCAAAAGTGGCCTAACCCACAATTCATATTCGGGCTTACGTATTGCAATTTATTTAAAACATAATCAATATTGATGCAAAATCGGCCTACCCCTAGTTTCATCCATAGATAACAGATCTATGTGTAAACATCATTTTAGCGCGTATTGTTTTTGCCTACGAAGCAGTGTAAAAGTGAATTCGAACCTCATTAACTCCATATACTAAGCTTAGGCCACTTTTGAGCTGACGGCCTAATAGTACAGGATCCCTGGTACACGTTTCATCATTTACTACTAACAAGCTGATTTTTCGTGAGTAGCTTCCTTTTGACTAGACGCCCAACTTTTTTCCTTACCGTAACGTTGGTAAGTGGTAGCTTACTAGGGGTAGCAAGGATAAAATATGATTGGACGAATTTTAAAAATTTATTACTAACCGAATTTTTCTTTGTTAATTATCGAGATAATTATCTAAATAACGTGAAAAAATATTTGTCCTACAAAATATAAGGTTTTTTTTAGGCAGTGCTCTCCAACATGTACCTATCATAAACAAGGTAATGAAAAATAATTACTAACCAGCTGATTTTTTTAATAGAATTTTTTCAATGCTTTCCCTCGGATCGGCTTCATACAGGTCTCTCCGAACATAAATCAAGAGAGACAATTCGTGTGATAAACTTTTTGGACAGCGAAATAAATCGTATCCCAATAGATTTATGTGTGAAATTGAAAAACATAAATTTTTCGTGTATTCAGTAGAACCTTTTTTTGGGAGGGGGGTCGGGTCTCCGCATGATCCCCGCGGCGAGGGAGCGCGTTGTGTATGGGGGACCATATTGTGGCCGATCACTAAACGAAGTATTTAGCTTAGAGCAAGGATGAGCAACACGCGGCCCTCCAAGCATTTCTATAATTGAATTTTCTCATAATGAAGGAACGGTTAGATTTCGCCAGGTGTTTGTAAACAATCAAAATAAATAAGACAAAAGCATCAACTCCATCAAAAGATTGCTGTATTTATGGAATACTAGTGGTCCCACAGTAGTCGAAATTCGACTTTAATCAATTGAAATTTAAAGTTTAAACATTATTATGGTTGTCAAATACTTATATAATATAATCACAGATTTTGCCAAAACTATTTATCGACTTTCTCCCATCAATTCATTTTTCTGTTTTTTTCTTGTTTGTTTTTATCTTCCATTAAAATTTAAATATGGAAGAATCTTTACTTTTTTTTTTGTTTTTTAGTTTTTTAATTCTAATATTTATTATAAATAAAGATTCGTAAATTATTAATAACAGTTCATACACGTGCGGCATGCCAAAAAAAAAATTTGAATTGGCCCATTAATTACTACTTTAATACCTACCTACTTTAATGATTTTTTGTTTATTTTTTTACATTCAGTTCCCTCATGTGCTCCTAATTATACTTGTTTACATTTTTTTAAAGTTAAGTATCTACGAGATAGTGTGTACAGAATTAATCCCAATAGGCTATTGACAAATAATTGACATTTTTAACAACGTCAACCAGCTTAAAGTAATGACAAAAAATCTCAAAAAATATGAAAATAATAATTGCCTTATGAAACAGAAAATTAAATTATATTTTATCGGAGGCTCCATTTCGGCAGCGCCCGGTAAGGATCATTTGAAGTTTATTAGTATTCACGGCCCTCTCCTAAAACATTCACTTTTATGGAAAAATCTTTTCGAGAGGAAAAATATCTTGAATTAATTTCGGGCATGTTTTATGCAACAAATATCTAAGCAACATTTTCTATAAATTGATGACAGCAAACTTTGATAGCCACAGACATTAATCTAGGATTCACTATAATTGAAAATGAATTTGAAAATTTGATGTATGTTCGTAAACATATTGAGGAGTTTCCTAAAAAGTCGGACATACATAATAGAAATACTAGGAACAAACACAGGCTTGTTGTGCCGACGAGTAGGTTACATAAGATACGAAATTCATTCGGGTGTTTGTCTGTGCGCCTGTACAACAAAATCCCACAAGATGTTCAGAAGCTACATATACATAGGCTTAAGAAAACTATTAAAGAACATCTGTGCAATAAAGCTTACTATAAAGTCAATGATTATCTAGAAGATTGCACAAAGTGGAAATGAGTTGCTCGCTCCGGGCATTTCAATATTGCAATAATTGTTACGTTAAAATACCTCTTGTAAAAATGAATATTAAAAAAAATCTAATATTAAAACAAGACAATATGCCCGCTGAGTTTCTTGCCAGTTCTTCTCAGGGCGGAGGCTAGTTTTTGTGAATTGGCGGTAGTTCTTTTTGACGTTCAACAAGTATGTACTTTCATTTATGTTGAATAAATTTTTATTTTTATTTTTTCGGTTTGATTGTTTCATTTTTTTCACATTTACATATTTCCAGTAAGCAATCAAATCGGTAATCGGTAATTTTTACTTTTCTAAACGCTCACAATAAATTTTTAGACACATACATACATACATTAGTGCTTAATTCGGTTTGAAGGAGGGACCAGCCGTTGTACTGTAAAAACTGAGACCTTAGAACTCATGTCAAGGTGGGTGGTGGCATTTACTTTGTAGATGTCTATAGGCTCCGGTGACCATTTACCATCAGTTGGGCCGTGAGATCATTCACACATCGAACCAATCAAAAATAAAAATTTATTATTTTAGTGAAAATAGGTAAAGTAACAATGCAATAAAGTATTCACACAATCTATTCGTGTAATTTATACAACACAGATCCAACTAGAAGTGACTAACATTCTCAAATGCTAAGAAACAATGATTGGTTCTTTTACGCATAACCTGATCAAATGTTTCTTATGATTTTTACATTCTTTAAGTAAAATTAAAAACACGATTCTCTGAAAGCTACCTTACGAGGGTATATTAAGCTTTTATAATTATAGAGAAGAGAAGAGAGAACTATAGAACTAGAGAAGAGAAGAGAGAACTATTTATCAGTAACGAAACATAGAGTAGGCATAATTGCGTTGGATTCTTCAGATTCTTCCAATTCGAATGAATGCTTACGTTATAGTTAGTCTCTATGAGCTCCAGTTGATCCGTCAATTGATCTTTAATAAAAAACTCTTTTGTTTTTCAAACCATGATTTAGTTGTAAGATGTCCTACAATATCATCTACAATAGCACCAAACCGTTTCCTCCGCGGATGTCTTAAAAATGCATTTATGAATTCATTAGAGAATAGCCAACAGTGTTCTCTGAAATAGTACCAGCGCACTCCGATGGCCAACTAGCATTGACTGGCAGTAGGGCGCACTGTCTTATCCGAAAGTGACGTGGCAACGCAAAGCTGCCGTCGCCGGATGTCTCGTCGGATCCCCTGGATTCACTTTCGATTTTAGACCTGCTTTTAGGCTTCTCAAACACCAGTCAGCGTCCTCCTCGAACTCGCCGACTGCGACGTAGAATTCGTTAGTATAATAACTAAATTTCCAATCTCGACTTGGATGTTCAATAGGGAAAATTGCTGCATCTGAGACGGCTGGTAGCACAACAATGCCAACCAATAGACACAGTCCACTGAGTTTCTCGCCGGATCTTTTCAGTGGGTCGCGTTTCCGATCCGGTGGTAGATTCTGCGAAGCACTGCTCTTGCTAGGGCTAGTGTTAGCAAATCGAGCTCGTGAACTCACCTACCATCACACGTAGCTGGAAATAGCCCCTTAGGCTACCAGCGAATAGGTAGGGGGGAAAAAGGCGCATTGTCACTCCGCTCGGGTGTCAGTATTTTCTTTCTGCCGCAAAAGCAGTTCCAGTTTGAAGGGTGGGGCAATCATCTATACTCTAAACTAATATTATAAAGCGGAAAGATTTGTTTGTTTGTATTAAATAGGCTCCGAAACTACTGAATCGATTTGAAAAATTCTTTCACTGTTTGGAAGCTATACTATTCCCGAGTGGCATGGTTATAACCTTTTTGAAAAAAAATAGCGATCCTTACTAAAACTACAATAATGTAACCCAAGGTGTAAAAAAACTACCTAAAATATTGTTCACATCGTGTGCTCTGCGAAAACTATTGATGATAGAATAAAACAATGTAGGTACTAGGACTTTGTAGAACACATTATTATTTACAAAATGTGTCGCGACAGCATATGACTAACTATTATAGTTATGCCGCAATAAGTGTTCTTTTATTTTAAAAAATAAAACAACGTCAAATATCGTTGAAATTTTTGTTAAAGACCCGAGCGGAACCGGAGCGTGCCGTTAGTTATACAATACATTTGAAACTTTGACTTCTCAAGTTGGAAAACCCTTACTCCGGAAAACGTTCAATAAAAAAAAGCGTTTGGCTACAGAGGGATCGCTGTTTTAAACCTAATGTCTAACACTCGGAGCGGAGGGTTGTCGTGTCAGCGGTCGTAAGGGGTGAATACACCCTCGCGCCTTCAAGTTTCGACGCGCCATTATTAACTTGCACACAAAGCGAAAACGTATAGCAAACACTTCAATTAGTGTCTGTGAGTTGAGTTTTTATTGATTGGGCATGATACGAGATGAGTATCCTGTAGGATACCGGTTGCTTGTAGATGTAACATGACCCGGTGCCTGTCTCACCGGAGACCCAAATTACACGAAATATAACTGAATAATAAATACACTTACAAAAGACATATAATTTTGACTGACTCGATAATGCAATGGTTAGCGAGCCTAGTTGCGTCGAGGGTCGTGGGTTCGATTCCCACATCAGGCAAACATTAGTGTGATTAAGGTTTTCTTACTATTTAAGTCGTCGTGGCCTTTAGGCCTATCCTTTAGGATAAGACGTCCGGTGCATTCGTGTTGAGCGTTGAGTGTTGAGCGATGCACCGGTGTTCGAATCTCAGGCGGGTACCAATTTTTCTAATGAAATACGTACTCAACAAATGCTCACGATTGACTACTATTACTGGTGGTAGGACCTCTTGTGAGTCCGCGTGGGTAGGTACCACCACCCTGCCTATTCCTGCTGTGAAGCAGTAATTCGTTTCGGTTTGAAGGGTGGGGCAGTCGTTGTAACTATACTTGAGATCTTAAAGACTAAAAAATATATATTCGCACCTTTGTTTATTGTCTATATATGTATACATTTTAACGCATATAAGTATGTATGTCAATCTCTGGTACCCGTAACAAAGGGAATATTCAATTGGGACCATGTGATCGTGCGTGATTTGTTGCGAGCTATTAATTATTTATATAACATGCAGGGTGCAGACATGTTTACGACAGGAGCGAAATGCTCGCAAATATCTATAGTATTTTCTTGGTAAATTTATTTTTACGGTTTAATTTATCGCTAAATTATTTCCGACATTCGAATACTCCACAGTTTTCATGTCTGTGAACGACCAAGGCGAATATTCGTCGACGTTTTCATTGAAAATAGTTTTAATTGTATTATTTTAGGATCGGTAAGAAAGGAACTGTTATAAGACGGCCCTGTATCCTTTACTGCTGACACATCCCTATTTCCCTGCTCAGTCAGTGTTTTAGTGGCCAGCAGTAAACTACAATTCCCATTAGCCTCAGTCCATTTTCGATCTCCGTCGCGACAACACGTTTGTTGGTTTAAAAGTTTTTTTAAAAAAAGGGAATATCCGGAACCCGTATAACAGAACGCATGAAAAGAGTGTGGAACGGAACTTTGAAAACGGAAAGAAAGGGAAAAGAGAATGACAGAGAAAAGGAAGATGGCGAAGACGGTTAAAATGAGCAAGGCGTAAAAAAGTTGTTAGACAATTTTAGAGAATTTTGGAGCAGTGGAAGTTTTATTTTATGCGCTGTGATATTATTGTACATTATAACATTGTCGAATGACGACGAATATGAACACATATTATCGTCTTCTCGCATTAAAACTCAACTAATTTTACAGGAGAGCGTTTTAAAGTTTTAACAT